GCATAAATGGTTTGCTTATATACCGCTTTGGTCTGGAATGTTGGTTGGATTTTACGAAAGGTAATTCTTTTCAACTTCATGAGCCAATTGTTATTGGTTGTAATTAGATATGCAAAAGATAAAACACCTGCTACAACAAATCAATGGGAATTTGGTTCTAGTCGAGTGTCGAATACTTCAATCGAGACTTATTTTCGAACTATAAAATCATCTGTATTAGAGCATCACACTACTTTGCGACCAACTGACCTTCTTATCCGAATTCATAATCATGTGTTAGCTCGAATGAAAGGTGACCAATTTGATGTCGCGCAAACATCACACGGGCGGAAAAAGAAGAAAGATGAAGCAGATGACTTGAACATACTGGATAAATGGAAACGAAGACATAAGAAGAATCCAAAAGCTGGTAAACAAACGTCTCATTTCAATGACAACGTTAGTAAAACGGTTGCGTCTAAAATAGCGTAAGTTTTCCTCATCATATGTCTCATGTTCGTTTTATTAACAATATGAATTTATTAGGAAAGGAAGAAATGAAGCAATCGTATCTGATCGCAATTTAAGTCCATCGAACCAAGTCTGTTTTTCTTCAAAAAAGACAAAAATTTTCGAGTATGCATTATACGGGTAAATAGTTGATAGATTTTCAAGTTTCAATCTGAAAATCGTGTTGATCAACATCTAAAAAGACTAAATAAGATTTTTTTTGTGTTATGTATGAAGTCATTGATGGTATGAGAAGAGAATTGCAATGAAGAATAAGAGATAATTGACTCATCAGTCACACCTTGTTAATCAATGTATGCGTATTGATCAAATCGACGACGATCTATAAATGAACCTAATGAGTTATAGAAATAAAAGCCGTAACGGTGATTCCAGTGGATACGTATTTTAAATTGTTCTCTGCGTATAAGAAAATTTCTCGTAAGCTCGCCAAGACAAAATGAAAACTAGAATTAAAAGGAACATTTTGTCTTACATAATGTACACGTCGATAAATCACTGACACGTCTAGATAAAAAGATAAACAAATATTCAGCCTTCATCTCTTTAGTAGCGCTATAGCAGTTGATGAACATCTTAACTTGACATTGGTTGTATTTAGCGATCCAGATTCCGATAAATCAGTCAGCTCTTCCAATGATTGTTCAGTTGGATTTTCTGTTCTCTCGTCACAAATGCCATGTATAATCGACGTAAACACTTGCAGTCCTAAAGCAAATTCATCATCTCCATCGCCAATCAAAATCGATGCGCCCACGATCACGTATCCTTCTTCTTCTTCTGATAACATCTTTTTAGCCTTGTCAGATATCACTGAGTCGCATTTATCACGAGCAACCAATTCAAAACATTTATATTCTTCATCAAACAGTGACGTCCCTATTACCGCAGNTCAGCAGGTATTAGTGGTAAAAACCACTATTTTACTAGTATTTACTGGTGAAACCACTAGGTAGGGCTGATAGACCCCCACTCAATTTACACCATTCGATGCGGAATGACGAGATCTATCCATCACAGAAGTTTCAGACTCATCACAAGTTCGTGAGCGAATGTCAGCAGGTATTAGTGGTAAAAACCACTATTTTACTAGTATTTACTGGTAAAACAACTAGGTAGGGTGGATGGACCCCCACTTATCTTACACCATTCGATGCAGAATGACGATATCTATCCATCACAAGTGCTTAGAGATCCATCACAAGTCCTTGAGCGGATATCAGCAAGAAATACTCGAATCCGCTGCTAACTTCCACTACGTCAGAAACCGTGCAGTATTAAAAAGATGTCATTCATCGTCTCTCAGCTTCTCATAAAACTTCTGTTTACTATCCTTGGAAATTTGGAAAGTGGTAATGGAACTGAAATATTCGCATAGGGACATGTCTGCCCAGCAGAAAATTCTTTGATAAAGATTCCACTGCAAAGAAGAAACAAAAGATATCTTAGTAACCACAATAAGTGTTCTCTTTCTGTTCCGAAAAAGTTCATAATTGCTTTGGATCAAGTTACTTACGTCGTTATTTCTTTGTTTTCCATCATCGGATCGAGTTCTACTTGCACTTGAATTTTTTGGGATCTCTGATTCAGACGCGCCGACCGCATCCGATTTTCCCCCATCAGTTTTGCGACTACTTTCTTTTTTTTCCTTTGATTCCTGTCGAGAACATTGAGATGTGTTATCAGGCGAATCATCTTCATATGATGGACCCGGGGATTTTGAGTGTTCATTCATCTTACTCACTAAAGAATAAAGGATATTTATTGTTGGTTATTCCATAAACCGTTCCCAACTACAATATTGACACAGGGGAGAAGTATAACGCATTTAAAGTGAAACCGTGTCTTGAATAGTAGAAAATATGACATGGGTGAGGATGAGGGTGTGGGTGTGATTCCATTACGGAATTCAGTTCCAAGGTATATGATACTGTGGACAGAGACGATGATGGAATCGAACGAATTGATTTCACTATGTACAACATTAGGGAGTAGGATGTAATCTCTATTTTTCAAATACAGAAACGTCTACTATATGATAAAGACGATGATGTTTCAAATAATGCTCAGTTGAGTCTAAAACTTCAAATAATATCTGGCTAATACATTCACTCTCTAGAGGAAGAAAACGATAATCACAATTGTTCTTTTTAAAATGCTACCGTGAGCCAGGTTAGTTTCAAACGATAAAAGATGGTGGCATAAAATTTAATCAATCTGAGTGTGATACTGTATCTTACAATTCGTTCTCGATCGCACACTCCACTTACTGCAACAAAACTCTATATTTCGATCACTACTTCATCGAGCATCATATGTACTAATCAACAAAGAACCCCATTTCTTGTCGCTCCGTTCACACAATATTGTTAGAAAAACAAGATGCATATTCGCATTAGCTATGGCTCAGATAAAAAATCAAATCTTCGTAGGCAAACCTGATTTTTCGGTCGAAAATTAGAGTAATTAAAAAACTTCTCAAAAACTCACTGAGAACAGGTGTCGACTTGACTGTTTCACCGTTGACTGAAGTTTATACAGTAGGAATAATCTGAATCTTAAAGAATTTTTAACGACTCAAGAGACTCTCTAAATGGGCCAGGTACACTTTGCCGACAATTATGTTTTTAATAACAGCTTCTTTTGTAATCCTGGTGTCAGGACAATGGTGCAAATTCTACTTTGGAACACATTCCGTCTACACCAATACCCATACACTCACGCTTACCTACACTGCCATTCGCATCTCTTTTATATCCTCACCCACATTCTCACCCATATACCCATTCTCAACAAATTTTTATTGTCTTTGCATTATATTTCTGTCAGTAAAGTGATTATCGACAAAGTAATAGCGATCCCTCTAAATAGTCTTAACATAGATGTTGATTTATGTGCAAATATTACAGAGGAAGTTTCGCAAAAAAAATCTCATTCAGTATGGTCTTGTCGTTTAAAAACTTACTTTTGTTCGATGAATTTGAAGAATAATATGTGGGTTACGAAGAGACGAGTAGTGGCTGCTCTGTTAAGTAGGAAGAATAGAAAAGAAATTTTTTCTGTTACTTTTTCTTCTCCCTCAAGACGTAAAATGTACTGTTTCAAGCGAGCAAATATCGGAGAAAGACTGAAAAATTTTCTTCCTACCCACAACATCCATCGAATCATCATGCGTTCTTTTTCTCTCAAAATAAAATGAAGAACAATCTCAAGAGATTAAGTTGGAAGTTTTCTTTGTATAAAATACGCAAACTAGATTAATACAAGTAAAAATTCAGTCTATTTTGTAGTGAAAAAAAGAGCGTTGGTAGAATTTGTTAACTTGGGTAAGATATTACGAATTCAAGTAGTCATTTCCTATCCATATAGTTTCCATTGATAGCATCTATGCAATTGGGTGCCCATACATTCCGTTTATACACAGTATGTCTTGCTTCCTTTTCATTTCGTCTTCCCACAGTTTCTTCCTATTCAGCTTTGTTCTTTTTCATTACAATATGAAAAGGTTTTAACATAGCAAAGTCGGAATGAAAATCTCAGCTTAATTACCATTCAGCTTAAGCTGACTGTGCGAGCAGACGTATGAATGTATTCGCCGAGTATACATACCTTCACCCCCACCCACGACCACCCTCATGATGAAGTTTTGACCTGATCATTTCGTTTCAGATATAATTATGTCTTCACGTGCACCGAAACAATGTTCAATATGTAGAAGTCCATTAAACACTGGAGAACTCGATGAAATCACAACTTCATGCGGACATACATTTCATCGTAAATGTGCACAAAAGCGTTTAGATCGATATAATAAAACAGATTGTCAAGTCTGTCGTCGAGAATGTGCTCTTGGCGATGCTTTATCCAAGCAGAATACCACCCCACCCAAATCTGTAAGTTCTTCACCTGCAATCGAGTACTTTCGTTTCGGTAGTTTCTTTATCTGAATATAGCATTATTATTGAGCTCAGCTCCAGAAAAATACATTAAACTACTACTATGCAAAATCGAAATCTTGCTGCCCAAGATCGGCAGTCTCATTCCTCAGACAGCATTTTTACTTGAAATCATACGGCGTTTTGCTCTGCACGTCCATTCCTTCATTGATTTATATTTTCAGGGCCGACGAAGGAAAAGCTCTGTTTCTTCTGCTCATTCGCATCATGCAGATAATCGCGAGTCTTCGCATTCACCCACCACAAGTGACAAAAACAGTAAGTTTCTCTCATCCTTTCCAATTATCTTTGTTATCCCATGGTCATATCTCAGAGGAGCATGATGAGCTAACAGAGGATAATCATGATCGTCGACCACTCTCTTCTCCAAGGATGCAAGGCAATGACACCGTTTATGTTGTTAATTTACCACCGGACATCAAAGATGATTTCGATCTAACCAATGCAGTTCGGACTCATGTGGAGAATAGTCTTCAAATTTCGATCCGTGACATCAAATGTTATGGGAAACTCGGTGTTGGCGTTATTCGAGTTCCTGATAGACAAACAAAGAATCGTCTTGTCCAATCGATTCAAGAAATAACATTGAATGTGGGAGGAAAATCAAATACGATTCAATTCGTTGATACATTAGAATTGATTTCATTTGTTGTACTGGAAATAAACAAAGATTTGTCATATCCAAGTGCAAAAGAGATTAATGTTCGTTGGAAAGATCTCTATGGAGGAGAAAGACCTCGGTCATGTGAACAATTTGATCGTTATTTTCCAAATATTTATCGTTTAGTAACAACATCACTGGATGAAATATTACAAATTATGCATAATTCAGATTTCTCTGTGAAAAAACAAAATGGTCGAGTTTATTTCTGTGCTAATTGTAGTTTTCTTACAGATTTACCTACATCAACATTTGAAGATGAAATTCGGTCAAGTATTTGTACAGCTATTGAACAAAAGCACATTTCACGTTCATCACTCTACGTTCAATTGAACAAACGAGATGATATTGCTTGTATCATTGTGTCAGATATGGCACGACGATGGATAACACATAATTCTGTTTATATTGATGGTAAAAAGATATGGAAAAGAGATCATCTTACCGACGATTCACATAAATTTGATAAACATAGTAAAAAAGTGGATAATAACGAATTCGATGCGAGACGCTGGTATGAAAAAGAAATGATTCGTTATAAACCAGATGTGAAACAATTTCTCTGTGATCTTCATCATCCGATCTTTCATCATAAATGGGATCAATATCTATGGTTAGAACAATTTCAACGTGTGAAATCCAATAATGATAAAGATGAACATACTCGTCAATTATTACGTATGACAGTGATGTTAGATACAATTGGTACTCTATGTCGAAGAAATTATATGATACATAATCATGAAGTAATGTTGAAAAGAGATGATGAAATGAAATCGATCATTTATGATCATCAATCGAAATTGAGTTTCGGAGGAAAGATTCCAATAACCGATACAAAATATAAATCAACTGTTGTTGAAGTAGTGAAAAGTGATGGTGTTGAAGTATATGAACGATTAGTTAAAAGTGGTCGACATCCATTACTTTTACAAATGACACATTGGAAACATCCAGGTAGTGAATATGAAAGAAATGATGGTCGAGAAGAAGAATATCTTTTTCGACAATCTGATTATTTCTGCAGTTTGAATGATGATCTTGATCATCAACAATCCAATCGAATAACTTCTTATCAATGTTCATCAAAATGTGAACTTGAAAAACTGTCGAACAAAGATGGAATTCGACGAATTAGTGATTTTGGTGCGATTTATACATCAGGTGTGAATATATTTCGTCGTGGAGAAGAAACTGGTTATGCATATATGGAGAAACCTCTAGAAAATGTTTGTATATTAACAATGACTGGATATGAAAATCCAACATTAGAAAAGAAAATGTTATCACCCAAATATGCAATAGCAACACGAAAGAAAATGGAAAATCTCTTTTCTCTTGCTTATCATCATAAACACGATTCAATTGTTTTATCAACATTTGCTTGTGAAGTCAATAATAATCCTGTTGATCATATTGTTCAACTCTTTAGTTCAGTCATTGAACAATATGCTGGTTTCTTCAAATCAATTACATTTGCTATTCCTAATTCTCCAGTACTTTATGAAACATTTGAAAAACTTGATGGAACAGTCAATGCAACAAAACTCATTCGAAAATCAAATACAAATTTTGGTCCATATCGAATTATATCCGAAGATGTTCGAGTAAATGATGTTAATATTTGTGATTTACCACCATGTCAATTTGGTGGTCGATGTCATGAACGAAACAATCAAGTACATACAGAACATTTTTCACATCCACCTTTATGTCCCAAAGCATGTCTTAATGGTAAATGTGATGAAACAAAAGATCTTGTTCATTTATATTCATTTATTCATCGAATTCGATGTCAATATGGTGGTGAATGTCGACAAATTGATGATGAAAAACATTGTCAAAGTTATGATCATCCATCATATTGTTCAAAAGAAAGTTTTTGTGAAAATATGGAACCAATTCATTTACGAGAATATCGTCATTTACCACTTTGTCAATATTCTCATAATTGTATGGAAATAAAAAAGAAAAATCAACATCATATGAAATCTTTTCGTCATTGTCCTCTTATTTGTCCACGAAAGAATAATTGTGTTGATTTTCATGATCGAAAACATATGTCTGAACTTCAACATCCATTTTCTCGTCCATGTCCATTTACACCATATAATTGTCGACTTCATAATGAATTTATTCAAGGATCTGAAAGTAATAAACCTTCACAAATTGCTCAAACTCATTGTCTTGATTATTCACATGTTTGTCGATTTGGTCGTCATTGTCGTGATCAAACTTCATTACATTTACAAAACTTAATTCATGTTGCTCGCGTGTTGTGTTCTGATGGAGATGAATGTACAAAGTTAAATGAAGAAGAACATTTGAATTTATTTACACATAAGAATATTCTTGATATTCGACTTGTTTGTCGACATTCAAATCAATGTCATGATCGTCATAAACTTGAACATGTGAAGAAATTTCGTCATCAACTGACTTCGGATGAAAGTGGTGTTGTTCAATATGTTGGTTTGAATAAAACCATTGATTTTGTTCATAATCATGATGAAGCAGTGGAACGTGTGAATGAATATGTTGAAAGCGAAGGTTGGGAAACATTACCATTAGGAACGATTCCTGATGATATTCTCAAATATATTCATCATGTTCAACCTGTTCATCGATGTAATCCAGTGATATTTGAATCGATTATTCTTCATGGACATGTCATGAGTCGATCTTATATGGAAAACTTGAAGATTCCAAAATTTGTTGCAAATTCTGTTTTACAACATAGTCGAGTACGACGAATACCAAACTTAAGTACGGCAGAAGACAAAGCACGTGCGTATGTTATTGCATTGGTAAAAGATGAATTTGAAAAGAATGGATTTCCACCGAAAGACACAACAACACCAGCAGCAGCTTCTATTGCAACAGCATTCCCAACTGTGACAACTTTGGCAAGTGAAATAACGATGAGTGAAAATCGTGTCTTAGCATTACTCGGAAAGAATGACACAGATGTGTTGAAACGAGTTGCTATTGAAATAGCTCAAGCGTCGATTAAACTACATTCAAATCCACTTGGAATTGGTTATAAAGTAGATATGGAGTTAGGAACTGATCGAACTATTTTTAGTGTTCTCGGACCACATTTGGGACATTACTATGGAGATATAGTTATTGTATTTAAACGTGAGATTTTACATCATCCAGATGCCGAATTCACCATTCAAGCAGGAACTTCATTTCATAGTGGAAAAGCTTTTAACTGGCGTCCATGGTTGGGTGATGTTTTAACAGATGTGAATGAAAGAATAAAACTATTTCATGCATCAAAACTACATGCATCTGTTCCAGGTTATGATTATGCTGCAGCTTTAGAATTAATGGCTATTACCAGTTCAATCTTAGACAAGAAATCTATGAACATTAGTCTTCAAGATATTCTCACTCGATGGATTCAAGTTGACTCTCATCAAACAGTCGAAGCTCATTTACCTCAACTCATACCATTAGATTATATTGATCATATCTATTTACCACAAAACATCTATGATATGCTCAATGAAGCAACACAAAAATCCATGAAAGCAGTTTTTCGAAATCGTGTAACGATCACTTCACATGAAGGAACAGATAAACCTGGTCTTTCATTTGGTCCAGTACCTGCAGAACCAGCACGAGTTGAATATCAGAATTATCTTACTCAAGAACTAATCAGTAAATTCATGAAACATATCGATACTCCATTACCAAGATCTATTCAAGGTACAATCATTACAATACCATCGACACGCTTTGATCAACATTATGTTTTACCTTTGACAATTTCTCAAGCATATCAACAATATTGTTCTGATCATTCTCCATCAACTGATATGACAATATCCATCTATTGGCAAGCAATGAGAGGAGATATGATGTTAACATTAGCAAATGAACAGATCAATCTACAAACAACACAAACAAATCTGAGTTGTTTAGTTTGTTATGTTGCTGAAACACCTGAGGTGGAAACCAACAATTATCATGAACATCATTCATATCTGAATAATGATAAACCTTTTAAACATGATCTTCTCGCGAAAAATCATAAATATGCAGCTGGTTCAGATAATTTCTATGTTGGATGTAACACTGGTGATTTTCTGACATTCTGTCTTCAACTTCATCTTTCAACAGGAAAAGTGACATTGTCACATGCAGGTGCCAATTCGATCTATAATCATGACAAAATTATTCATACATTCAATAAATCACAACTGGATCTAAGTGCTTTGGAATATGTTCATGTAAGTGCTGGTGCACATACAGTGCCAATTCGAAATGTAATGATTTGTTTTGAAAAACAAAATGAACTACATCCAACATACGATATGGAATTCAGTTCAAGTTCAGAATTAGTTGATGGTAGTCTTTCTTCAATATCATCTCTCAGTTCTCTGATTCCATGTGGAGACAATGTCAACTGTCTTCTTCAGTTGTCACTTAGTGAAAAGGAACACAATTCGAAGTTTTCTCATCCATGTCGATTTTCCGAGCTGTGTCGAAATCGTGAACCAAACTTAACACATGAACCACATCGAGTGCCAACGTGTCAATATGATGAAAAGTGTAATAATCTCGCTGACCCGTTCCATCGAGCAAAGTATCGGCATAAAGGTTATCCTGATTATCTTTTACCTTGTCGTCATCAACAGAAATGTGAAGATACATCGGAACATCATCGAATAAAATATTCTCATGGAGAAAGAGTTTTTCTGACTAAGGAAGCATCAGCATTACACGGTAATGAAAAAAAAATTTGATTTTGTCATGACATCGATGTAGGAAGTTCGTTTTTGATAGAATCTAGAGTTAATTCTGATAATGAAGATCCAATTCCTTGCAAATGGGGCACAAAATGTCGAGATATTGGAGACAAACGACATTGTTCAAAATATTCTCATCCTGCTGTACATAAACATGCTGATCACCAAATTCCTTGCAAATGGGGTGCAAAATGTCGAGACACTGGAAATCGCCAACATTGTGAAAGATTTTCTCATCCTGACATGGAATCATTCCTTTTAGAAGGTAATGGAGGATCATCAAGTGAAACAGAAAGTGACTGAGTTAAGTCGTAATTCTTCATAGCAAAAGAATAAGACTAACCATTTTGACTGTGATTGATATCTTAGAGTGAATGTTAAAGAATAAAATTGATGATCAATAAAAACGTTTTGATGTTTGAAGAAAATGTCAAAAATAATCTGTTCATATCTGTTGAAGATACAGCAGTAGGTCAATACGATCTTCAAGTACGAGTACTATGATTTGCATAGAAACATTTTCGAGAATCCTCATGAAGGACGGCACGATGTTCCGAGAATGTTTTTCAAAGTACCGTCGAGAATTCAAAGCGTCTGGGAAAACTTTGATTTATACTGATGTACTTTGGCATCTACGTAAGTTCTTATAGCACCTTCGATTCTCAAATGTATAAGCCATTTTAGTTTAGAATAGAAATGTAACTAAAAGTGACAGTGACCCGTGTACACATCTGTTGAATACGAATTCAACTGATCAAGACACTCATTCACTGATATCCAATCATATGCACCCCTTTGCAACCAAAATGCTCATTTAACTGATTTTGATGAAAAAAGAAACAAAATCCATGCTTCAAGAATATTTCGAAGATTGGTTATATCATATGATTCATTTCTTACTCTCATTTTTGTCTTTTTCGATAAAAGATACGTTTCTTTCTCCGAAGTCTAACGCTTCTCTTTTAATAATCGTTCGAAAACTTATTTCGTTTGAACCGTTGAAGAATTTGAAAAATGAACTGTTTTGGTAATACTGACTTTTCATCTTGAAATCTTTCTGCGGTTCTTGCTCATCGAAATGCAAAGCTTGTTTCACTGTCATCTTTCTTCAGAGCATGGCCTATAACACGTCACGGATCTGCTGCCGTCTATATGAATACACCAGAATCTTTTTTTGATTTTCCTACCAAAATCGAATCTCGACACGAATTTGTTGAAAAGATCGAAGCAAAACTATGGTCAAGAGATTCTTTTCGATTATGTTACATGTTCAAATTGCAATAATGTGGAAAGTGCGTTTGAGACATTGATGGAACTACGTGAGAAGAACTTCAAATTACTTACTAAAATGAAAATAAAAAAAAATAAAACTTCTTTCACTTCAATTCCATTTTAGAAGTCTATTTCGCTTAAAATTCAAGGAATTTGCATTGAAGATTTTGTTTTATTTCCGAAAATGTTTAGATTTCTCTTCAAATCTTGAATATCGACGGCTATTAGTAAATCATTGATACTCGTAAGTAATAAGTTGAAATCGACGAAGAAGCATTTTTTGTACTTTTCACTGGTTTGACGACGATGGTAGTGCTTCAAAAGATGAACATACGGATTAGTGCAAAGATCACCATAATTGAACGAGGCGTTTGTTCACAAAGAAGTTCTCAGGTGTTATCAAATAGTTTACATCGGAAAATAAACTTCTGCTATGAGTTGACGTCAGTTGAAAAATGATGTACGACAGTAAATGACAATATTTACCTAGTATTTGTTTAACACGATAATGTAAAGTGATTCCGAATGAGACATTTCACCTTTAGGAATTAGTGCGATGCTATATTTATCAAAGCTATGATGTAACATTTAATAGTAGAAGAGCAAAAGGTAGTCTCTAACTATCAAAGGATGTGAACAAGGCTTTACTGAATCGGACAGTTCACAAATATACATTCAGCTCAACCATCCTGTAAGTATGCGATGAAAACATTAACTATAAAACCATATCGTATATTCTCTCTACGAACATACAGATATTGAAAGTACTTTTGTTGAAAAACAGGAATTTTTACCATACAGACGACTGACGTGTGAGTTTTCTTTCACTCATGTAGATCTTCTATCTCCAGTGTAATATTTCTTTAGTTAGATCTACTCAGTACAATATTCGATTGTTTTTAGATACGATTTGAGTTTGTTCAGATATTCAAGTTACTCTTGGTTTGTATTACGCTGAAAAAGTTTGGTAAGACAATGAATTCGTCAAGCGAATTTGAAATTAGCATCCAAGAGCTCTACCCATCGTGTGCTATTGCGATGTTTTTCTCAGTGATTGCAATCGTTATTGGTTTGTTTATAAACATCGTAGTCTATCGAACCAAAAGAACTCTTCACACATGCCGGCATCTCATGATGTGCAATTCTTCAGTTGCAGTAATGTTCTACTGTGTAGTGCAAGGCAATAATTACCTATATCTTCTTTTCCTAACATGGCAGACCAGCGACGTCAGTTGCCGGTGGCGTGCTTACTTTTCTTACATGTCGCTAATTGCGATAAGTTATTCCTATATGATGCAAACACTCTCACGTTTCTTCTTTACTATTCTCGTGGCAAAATATCCTGTTTTGATCACGAAAAAAACTCATTGGATACTGATCTTTATCAATTGGATGATAGTGATATTCATGCCCATCGGAGTGATCTTGACAGAAGATGTTCATTTTGTTCCAAACGCGTTCTGTTGGGTTCCGTTTTCAGCTGCATTACACGTTATACTTGGATTCATTGGTCATTACGGTATTCCGGTGTCTTCTATCTTCGGCATGTATATCTTTATCTACTGTCAAATGAAAAGAAGTCGACAAACTGTAAGGAATCGCACGAATTCTACCAATAACAATCAGATGGAAATGACAGTACTTCGAAATATTTTAGTTATGATTATTATATTCTTAATCTGCGGTATACCTAATGCTCTCTTTATATTCACGGCGTTGAAAATCTTCTTTTTGACAATGATAGTAGGATGGCCGTTTTGCGCGGTGGCCGTTCAAGTGTGCGCAATTGCTCTTGATCGAGAACTTTATAAGGTCGTTCATGGAATACTTGTTTGTCGAAGATCAACGCCACCGACTGCAATGGAGTTAAATTTAAGAAGGCGAATATGAATTTCTGATTAGGTTTTCTTAAACGTTGATCTGAAAAGAATGTACTTCAAAGTTTTATGCGAAATAAAAGGATTGTATATATTATACGAGAACAAAGTTATAAACTATTTGCATACTATCAGCTTTGTTTATACCAACAACAACTCTCCTATTAGTAGAGAGTATCAGGTTCAACGAGGGATCGGCGTTCTTCCTCTTCCTCTCAAACAGACAGTGTCGAGTTCATCTTCAGCTGCTCAAGTAAACTTAGTTCGAACCATTCGTATATCTATTTGGTATTACTAGTAACAATTTAAATATAAGAATATTTATTTAGCATCGCTTTTCTGTCAACACCGCAGCCCATGCGGTATTTTATTTACTTATTTTTCGCTCAAGTCCGACATTTGTTGTGTAATTGCTTATATCGTTTGATTTCATTGGAATAAAATCAAATTTATGACTTACGCGTCTATTGCTGCTCGTTACAAATTTATATTTAGGTCATGTATATGTCAGTAAAGATAAATCTATTGTCTTTTGAAGCATTATATTCATTCATTTGCTTTAGTTAACATTTCGAAAGGACTTAATATATCGTTTGGCGAAAATTAGAACTCTAATTTCATTTGTCTGAACATTGATCTTCCCAAAAAGTGTTATCACAGTGAGTAAAGAATATTGAACGTGACAAGAACGGATGTCCGATACAACTACAACAGTTCAATATACATTTTCTAAATGATCATCGAATGTAGTTTTGACTCTCAATGTAACTGAAAAAAGAAAGTAATTTTTATATTCAGAACAGGTTTTTTTTGTTATCTAGAAATTGCTGACGCACATGTTACGTCAACAGTTGTTATTGCTTGTTTTTTTTTTTCATATGGCAAGTAAAGATAGAGTCTTGTAGCTACAACAACTTTAAAAGACGAAATCGTCGTTAATATGGTAAGATCGAAACACTTTATTTATGCAGCTTTGGGCACCTTGGGAATATATTTGTTCAGTGCAAAGCTCCGCAGAGTCAAAACTGAATATCAAAGTTATTTTTCTCAATTGAATTTAAAACTAAAAGAACGATACAGTGGAGCTAGTGCGGCCATCGTTGATCTGGATAGATTGGACGCAAATGTACGCTTCATTCGAAACAAATTGGGTAATGAATACAAACTGAGACTAGTCACTAAATCATTACCTTCATTAGATCTCTTGAAGTATCTACTAGAAACAACTCAGACGAACAGATTAATGGTTTTCTCTGAGCCGTTTATTGTTGAAATATTAACGAACATGGAGTTTGCTTCACTTGATATACTGTTGGGCAAACCATTATCTGTGGATGCTTTTTCAAGATTAACTACTTATCGTGGCTGGACTAGTATTCATTGGTTGATTGATACAAAGGACCGATTAAATCAATATTTGTTCTATGCACAAAGAGAGAATCTACGAATCAAAATTAGTTTAGAAATTGACATTGGTCTACATCGAGGCGGATTCGAGACGATAGAAGATTTTACTGAGGTAGTAAAGATCATTCAACAAAACAGTCGATATCTAGAATTAACTGGTCTTATGGGATATGATGGGCATGTGCCCTACGTGCCTTTTTATATTAATAAACAAAAAGCTATTCAAAAGGCATTTATCAAAACGCTAAACCGTTATCGGCGATTTGTTGATGAACTGAAGAAACACTATGGTGCTGAAGCTATCAGAAATATGACCTTCAATAGTGGTGGAAGTCACACTTACTTCAACTATTCCGACGTTAAAAGCAGTACTGCAATCAATGATATTGCTATCGGTTCAGGCTTTGTCACGCCACAACAATTCTCCAATTTAATCAAATTGGGTCACCAACCTTCGTTATTTCTGAGTTCTCCCGTATTGAAAAAGCTTGAATCATCGAAATTACCTCATGCGGAGAAATTCGCAACATTACTCAATCTTTGGAACCCAAATCTGAGTGTATCTTATTTTACGCTTGGAGGCGGATGGCCAGGTGAATTGATTAGTCCTGTTGGTATGAGAAGAAATCATTGGTGGGATGAAAATGATCTTGGCTATTCGAATCTATTACCTAATCAATCGATTGTCAGTAGTTCAGATAAGAACAATATTCGTGTTGATGACTTTGTTTTTTATCATCCGTGGCAAGGAGATGGAATGCTGTGCTTCAGAAAACTCGTTCTTTATCGACAAGCCGGTTTTGTTGGAGAATGGAGTACTTTCAACGGAGGAAACTAATGAAAACAAGGAATTTTATATCGATTTATTCAGAATCTTTCTCGATTATCATGAGCATTAAGATAAAATTTTTTAAAAAGTAAAGAGTTCATTATTCTGGTCGAGTACACGCAGTGAGAAAAACACGAATGTAATTTGCAGTTGGTTGAAGGGTGCCAACGTCAATGCGAATTTGATATGTACCACTGGGTAATCGTGTATTTCCTGGTTGCATGTAAGTAATTTTTTGCCAGACTTGTTGTGGTGCATTTGTTTGTGCCAGGAGAATACCTTGCGGACTGGTTAATTTGAGTGATACCTGATGGCGAACTGTTTGTTTACTGTCTTCTGGCCACCATATAGCAACATCCATTCGTTTCGATCCATATGAATCGCTTGCCGAATCAATAGCGAAATTGTTTACGATGTACTGATTGGCATAGAACGTTTGCCACATGAATGTGCATTGACGCCAACCAAGCGAGAGAAGGCCAGCACCTGTTGTATTCGTCACTTGAGGGCCATTTGTAAGAGATAAAATCCATGAATAGATGAGACCAGGTTCGGGATTAGCCGCACCGTAACTAATCAATTGCTTTTTTAGGAGATAGGCCGCACCGGTGACGATTGGTGTTGAGATTGACGTTCCATCGACTGTCCAGAAACCGTTGTTACTTCCATTATTATTAGTTGGACACCAATTTCCATTACCGCCACATCCATTGTAGGCTGTATAGAAACCAGATGGAGCTTGGAGATCAGGCTTGATTCGTCCATCGGAAGTTGGTCCTGAAGCTTGATAAGTAGCTGTATGAGTTAAATTAAGTAGATCGACCGCTCCAATGGTAAGAACTTTACTGGAATGAGCTGGTGCTTTTTGTTGACCTTGTGTCGCATCATTACCTGATGCAACAAAGATAATAGCTCCTAAATCATGAGCAGCATCGACAGCATGCGTAACATCACATAACGATTGGTTCAAACAATTTGTATACAATGATAAATTGATAATTCGATCTCCATTAGCTAACGCAGCCTGAATAGCAGTCACAACCCATGTGCTATTCAAATAACTTGTACAGGTTGATGTACCGGCTGAATGTAATGTTTGAAATACTTTATAAGAATTGATGCAAGCTGGCGACATTCCATGTAAAGAATCCCCTGCATTTGAATTAGCTGAAATGATACTAGCGACAGTAGTTCCATGTGAAAGGCAATCATCATCAACATCGTATTGAGTTGGATTTGTACTTGCATCTGCACACGAAGATCCTCCATAAACGCAATCAAGCGTCAGATTGATTCGATTTGGCGAATTGAATACTGCATGTGTTTTTCGTACACCTGAATCGATGACGGCTATACATCCTTGAAGATTGTTGAGTGAAGCTTGAGCATTGTATAACCAATCGCTGCTAACAGCTTGACGTGCAATACCCAAATCTTGTAACCCCCAAACACCACCTTGTTCATGACCAGGATGAAGAAGAATATAATGTTGTTCTTGTTCTTGTGCATATCGTCGGGCGTGTTCTAGTGGCATTTTGACAAACATGGAATTTGTAAGCCAGAACTCATCTAATATTTCAGCTCCATAGTCGTTGATGAGTTTTTGACGTCGTTCAGCATTTGTTGGCTCTCGATGGGTATTCAATGCTGAAAGGTATTGTGAGAAATTGTCGAATGTTGAGTAATGGTCAGGGAACGGTTGGTGTTCACGAAAAAGTATATGCATGTCAACATCAGTCTTATCATTAGGATTGTCGAACAGTTCTCGAAGAGTGGAATGAATTTGTGGTTGATGAACAAGAACTGCTTGTCTCTTTCGTCGGCGCTTTCCGATTTGATCTTTGGGTTGCGGTGCTGAACTAAGAATCGCTGCAGCTCCTCCATTAGCATTCAATGCACCATTGGAAAGACCTTGATTGTTAACAATAATTTGACCACCGTTAAGCGGAGATTGGCCGTAGATGGATAAAGGAATGATTAACAATAAGGCAAATATCGCCGATACTTGCATCACTATCATCTTGAAAATTGTATACTGTGTATTTTGTGTTTCTCAGTCTATTGCACACCTTGATTTTATACTCTGCATTTAATCGTCTCATGCGCCATGAATTTGAATTTAATGGTCGTCGTCATATATCATTATTTCTTTATAACAGACTCTTTTCATAAATAGCACAAAAAACAGGTATCGACCTGGCTGATCATACTGTGATACACATCATAATGTATCATGATGTTGCAATTTTCCTTAGTCATAAAGTACTTTTTCGCAAAGATCAAAGCATTTGTTAGCAACACTTCCTTGTCCACCTATTAAATGACATCAAGCAGTTACCATTAACAAAAAGGAAGCGATGCTTATCTAAGTTTAATGATCGATTTGAAGAGTCGAGGAAAATGATAGTCAAAGAAAAAAACATTCGCGCCGATTCTTTATTTAATATTATATTTTTCTTTTAAAAACTGAAGGAAATGTATATTTCTCACACTCAGCAGTTCAATATATGTAATATTCACGATTGTTTACTTTTAACCAATCAACAAGTGAAACAGATGCTTCATCGAGATTATAAAGTGATTCTGCTCTCGCATTCGTCGAACATCGATGCCGGTCGAGTATGAAATCGATTCTACACTCACTTCCAGTATTGAACACAACATAGATGATTTTGTCTAATAACGTTGATGGAAATACATTTATTAGAATCTGGTCATATTGATGACGGTATCCAAAACTGATTTGCAGTTTGCGAATATTGACTGTCTGTTTTAATAAGGCGTCAACAGTGTAGTTAATCCTAACATTAGAATCTTTATCAAGTTTGCTAGAAAGTGAAATTTGGCGAAGATATGCCATATCAACCAGCGATGAAAGATGCCAAATACGTCGTTTATAATCTGCACTATTTAATCGAAGTCTTAAATGCGTTGTTCTTCGATATAAAGCTTCATGAGTTCGTGCAGTCTGAACAGAAAAGAACATCAGTACACATAGTCTCATCTCATCTCGGTACAATACCTGTGCGGAAGATATAGCAATCGGTATATCAGTCAATGCAAGGGATAAATGAGATACATTATCCATCATTGCCGTCTCGTTTTCCGGTGTCATGACTAACGTCGAACACGAAATTAGATTGTCTTTCGAATCATGAACATGGTTTGATTGACATAGAGGTATGGAATACAGTTCAATAAGTTCACCTTTGATACATGTACAGTTAACGAACCAATGTTTGTGTTCCCGCCAGAAAGATGTTTGAAAAGGTGTAACGAATGTTTGAAGTTTTTGTTTAAGTGCCTCTCCTGAACATGTTGTGTGAAATGTTTGAAACAAAAATTCAAATTTATCCAGTTCGGATAAATTCGTTTCTATGAAATTCGCCCATTGAGAACCATCAAAAATCGAATTTTGTATGTTCAAAACACGTGTTAAACTTGATAGTTTTAAGTAATGAATTGAACGAGTAAGGGAAATTACCAGACGAATCATTTCCATTAACATCATATTAGATGTGATTGTCAATGATTTAACGTGTGAGAATGAAGCTAACGTTAAATCGAAAGGAAAAGTATCAGCAAAATCATTCGTACTGAAATCTAACAATTCCAATGTGTGTAAATTGGGCAAGCAACGAAGAAGATTGAGATATTGTTTGCACGAACATCTTCGCAGTGCCAAATTTTGTATTGCATAATCAGCGGGCCATCGCATGTTAATGATGATAAAATTCGATGTCACCATATGTAATTGACTAAGACGAACTTTTGTCAATATTGACGAGTGAAGTTCGATTGTTTCATGACTAAGAGTCAATGAATCTTGATGCTCGATCGATAAGTATTTGGTACTGGGTGAAAGATGTTGTAAGAATTCAATTAAATGTTTTTCTCGGATTCGAATCAAAGTCAATGAATAAAGTCGGGTGAAATCTTTGATATTAAATTGAGTAAGAAACACTCCACTAGATATTGCATCATCATCAGCAAGAATCAATGAAATTACATTTTCTGGACGAATCAAAGAACAGATTTTCTTAAATTTTACATTGGGTATGCAGCGATAATCAAGTCGATATCGATTGTAGGATTCAATTTTCTCCTTCAAATCTCGACAGACATACCGTAGAGACCATAAAATATCTTCATAATCAAGATAATCGATAATATGATGAATAACTTCGGGTGGAAGAATAAGAAGCGGAGACAACGACATATTTTCTTCTGAAATAATACCTACTACGACATCGTTTTTGTGAAAAAGAACAAAAAACAACAACAAATCAGATTGCTGATGAATGAGTCATGCAGTTTTGCGTTCTGGTATACAAGACAAAGTCCTTTTATTGTTAGAAAAAAAATGCTACGTTTTTGTTTTAATAGGAAAAAACTTGTTTAAACGTGTCCATGTGTTCAATCCGATCTTTTGCCCATTTTTTCCGGGTGAATGTCCAGTATGATATGTTGCATAATCTACTTGTCCAAATTCATCCATATTATACCAAAAGACACTATTTCCTACCAATGGGCGGAATCGTAGTCCATAATTAGTTGAGTTGTCGTCACAAACCAATATATCGCAAAATCGTTCGTGTAACGATCTGTTAAATGGAATGCTAATGAATTCAGTCTCACCCATTGAACAATGCGCATGAAGATAAGTAAAAAATGTTGTTACACGCTGACCACTAATTCTTAATCGTTCTGGGTCACTAATCCAATCGTAGTGAGGTCCATACTAGAACATTTTCGAAGATATTTATTTCGGAGAAATGAATGAGATGACTTACGTGTTGATCAGCGTCGTATTTGACTACTTGTAATGGTTCGATGCATTCGACATCGAGATCGCCTTGAAATTGGGCAAATCGTTGTTCGATACATTTGACAATCGGCGTATGTTGACGTTCGAGTGGTGCAGTTGTTGACGTTCGAACTTTACTACGATCGGCATTTCCATCATTAGTTAGAATCATTGACGGTTGAAATAATGGTTCACTAACAAATACAAAAATGAATCGTTAATCAAAACGTGATCTGCTGCACATACGCCAGATCGATGATATGTTGAATTTCATTTTGAGTAAGAAATTGTTCGATATAAATAATCAATGGACTTCGTTCGATCAATCGAATAGAATACCGATGACGAGGGCATCTGTATTTGTATTCAGAAAGATTGAAATTACTGGTTATCTCAGGTATGTTACACTCTTGTTTCGATGGCATTTCTTCGTCGCGAATGTACGATTGAGCATCAATGATATAATCATCAAGAATTTCAAGACCAAGATCGATTTTGTGTAAAATATGCCTTCGAAATTGATAGATATTGAAGAAAGCGCAAGAGAACAGAAGTCCAACGAGAATCAAGCGATAAATTCGAAACATTTCAGGTTATTTTGAATCGGTACTCTCAATTTGCATGGACACACATGTGATGTTTAAAGTACAAAAAATACAAAGTAATGCTCACTGCTTACACGAGAACAGAACGAAAAGCAACTTAAGAGAGTTTTGTTAATCGATGTAAACATCGTCAATAGAATATGTGCATATATATATATTTCTCATTCGCAGCGAAAATTTACGGTTTTTGTATGGTTCGCCGGCCAAACATAAACATTTCCGATTGTGTTTGCATGACTGACTCAGGCGAAACTATTTTTGCCGTTTGATGTGAAGGATGATATTGAACAATATCATACACTGTATAAGATTCTGGAGGTGGTAGTATTAAGTCACTCTGATCAGAAGTATTTGTTGCGATAGTACGTGTGTTACGATGCTTGCCAGGCCAATTTGGGCAACTGAATGGTAATGTAAAAGTCTTTTTTTCTCCTTTATAGAAGGAGAAGAGGGACTCACCAGAAAGGATAGCAGCAACAACAGAACAGAAAAGCGCATAGAAGTGTGAGAAGTGAAGCAAGGAGAGGTCCAAGCCAAAGCCATGTTGAACGACAAACTAAATGTGGATTATGTTGATATAGAAAACAATGAAACGAGCTACCTGAAGACGATGATGTTGATGTTGCTAATGTATTCATTGTAACATTAGTCACTTCATCGCGATGAGTGGTCGAGTCTTGTAAGGAAACTAGATTTCTCTCTGTACTTGTCCTTTAAATGGATATTGTATTCAAAACTTTTGAATCTGATTAACTTACTCATCTATGTATCGTACCACCGATGTATAATCAGCAGTTGTAGTTGGCAACCTCTGACTAGCACATGTGATTGTATCTGCTCCTACTACGATAAACGATATGCAGTATTGATTTGATCGAACACGTTCACTACAATGAAGAAGTATTACTCTATGTACACAGAATATTTTGCTGATTCGATTTACCTATCGACAGCTATAGCACAGAGAAGTTGTGATCCAATTTGTGTAACCGTTGGGATCCATGTTAGAAAAACTGACCATGTAGATGAGGAATTTTTTTGTATCAGAGATGATTTCGTGAGAGATGGAAATGATAATATACCGATGTCTTTGATTACTGTAGAATTTGAACATAGGTTTTCTGCTACAAGTTCAATGTATATGGTTTGATTAACAGCAACTTCATTACATTGTTCATAATGATTATTAGGACTTGTCAGGACAGGTTGATGAGAACATGACGGTTTCTCAATTACATGAATCAAAAATTGTAATGGGATGGTACTTAAAGGTGAAGTCGATATCGAACTGACGAAATCTTCGATCTAACAAGAAGTGAATAACCTAAGATTCCGTATCTGAAACTATTTTCATACTTACCACGATTGCTGCCGCATACCAGTCATTTACGTTGGAGCCGTTGATAAATAACGTGCAATTGGAATAGAGTATCGTTCCAGCAGGTAATGAATTTGGATAACATACACTGCCGCATTCTTGCACACCTTGTGCGAAACGACATTGTATGTGGTCATTGTCAGGATCAATGACTGGTATTGGAATTAATTGTGCCACTCCTACGAAGATTTCAACTGGAGAAATCATTGTAGATGCAGGTGGACTATTGAATTTGCCATTTGATCTCAATCGAAGATCGACTACAGATAAGAAACTCCAACTGCCAGCAATTCCTATTCCGACTGGCAATGATAATTCGCGCCAGTTTCCATCTTGATACATAACAATACAACAGAATGCGTTTACTAAATCGAATCTATTGGAGAGTTGAAGGACTGTTGTGTTCAAAACGACTGAGTAATCAATGCATATTCCTCCAAGCAGCAGATTTTCAAAAGACTGATTCCGATCACATTTTTGGGAACATTGCATTTTGATGGAAAAAACGATTACTTTTGACAGATTGTTTATCCATGAATCATTACAAGGAGTCGATATATGAGTGACCGTGTAAGTTTGTGAAAGTAAAATTGATATGGTTGATCCTGAACTGCCCAATATCTTATGCGTAATCACGCCACCTCGAAAATGAACAGCTCGTACCAAACTAAGAAGACTTAGACAAAAAAGTAAGACAGTATCTCGTTTATTGATCTGCATCTCGTCCAATTGAACACTTTATTCACAAAAACTGAATTCTCTGTTAATTAAATACGACTTTTTTCTTCGCCCATGAAATGTGTACATGTGTAGATTATCTCAAATTTCCAACACTCGTCCCGAGAATACGTCTTTGCTTTTTCTTCAGTATTGTTTGTCAAAATCTACAGCCGCACAGTTAAAACTTAATTACGGCTGAGTGAATATCAACAGAAAATGGATCGTATATCGTCATATTGAATTATAAGACCTCGATGTGAAAAATGAACGTTTTATTTATTAAATTTTTGATGGTATGAATATATATCTCTTTGATTACTATGGAGAAGTATAAATGACGTTATGTTGTTACCGATAGAAAAACAATATGCGTTGTTTTTCACATAAATGTTCAAACGATATTGCTTTTTACCCTGTATTACACTTTATTAATTAAATAAAGTCATTAGAATTATGTTCGGCTTGACGCATTGGCTTTCATCGAAGTGTGAAATAGAAAAGAACATTCATCAATAAGAGTTTAAGTTGCTGGTCGAACCAAATTATTCGGTACGTTAAGCTGCAGGCATCGATTAAAATGAATTTTCCACAGCACATGACTGAGCTGCTTACGGAATCGTTCAGATGTGCAGATATAAATGTAAAACGGACTCTAAAGATACCATAAATGTAAACAATAATCTACGCAACTGTTTGAGACTTACTGCAAAATATAAGTAGTAATTGAGAAGAGTTAAGGAAAATATGAATAGGAATGTTTTGTGAAGATCCGGCTCATTGATAAGATTTGGAATTGTCATCAACATATTGATAATCGTGTGCGGGAAAATGGTAAACATATTTACGATAACTTGCACCAAAACCATACTCGTTAATTGTTTATCAAGCGCCTGTCGAACTAAAGGCACGGCACGAAAAGCCATCTGCTTTACATTACCAAAAGCCAATAATCCGAATATCGTTGCAATGAGAACCGGTCCGAAACCCAATAAGACAAGAACGATTACATAAGAACGGTATTGGGCAAAAATCCAATCTGTACTAACGCATGAAACTTGATTTGTCGCCGGCGACACAGTCTGATAGAATAATATCAGATATGGAATTCCATGTATTACCCAAATGAGTAGATTAAGACTTGCTAATTGTTTTGCTAGTCGAGTATTGCACCATGCTTGCTGACGAGGCCTTGAACAAGTCGCACAATATTGATCGAATGTTGCTAAGCAGAGGCATGACAGTGAACCGACGGTACAAACGTGAAAAATATAAGGCCGAAATTTGCAGTAGAACAACGAAGTATCATTTCCATCGAGATCAAACAGAGTGATGAAAAGACGTGGTAACAATCCACTTAATAACTGGCCAATGTTTAAGATAGACATAACTGTCAAGTAAATTATACACGAACTTTGTCGGAATGTGCGAAGACTGAGGAAAACAATCAGATTCAAACAATTGCCGAATAACCCACCGATGAAAAGTGGTATGCCAATACAATTGGTTAGAAGATTCCCAAGAGAGGATAAAGAGATCGACATTTCTGAACTATACGTGAAACAATACCCTGTCGAATGAAATTTGTAGTTCTATTCGTGCACAAATTACTTTATACTTCAGCATGGCTTCTCCTTTTCACATCTAGTTTCTACGCACGAGCAGCAATGAAAAAATAGATATGTCATATTTTTTAGAAATTAGTTTCTGTAGACATCCACAAAATAAGTCTATAACCAAAACTAATGTTCCTGTGATGGCGAACCATTTTGGTAGAGAAAGCCATCATGTACTAAGTAGAAGAAATCGATACGAAGTTTTTTAACCTTTTTATTGTGCTATACGTCATGGTTAGTATATTACGAGTGTAATCTTAAAAAAATCCACTAATAAAACACACGGCTTCTCTCAAATGATATTATTTTTGCGAAAACTGTTCTTTTTCCCGCAACACTAACTTTTGCATAGATCTATTTTACTTTTTCCTATGACACGTAATATTTTTCATAGTAAAGAATTTGCTCTAGTAAATCAATTAACTATATCTTATTCCATTGGATCTTGACTTTTCCATCTTGGATATCTTATGATTACAATGTTGCCTGTTTATTCTCTATCATCTTCTGTTTACTCGAGCTGCTCATGAGCCTTTTAATAATCATATCTATGTTGTTTAACTCTTTCTTGACTTGCTTTATGGGATCGCGTCCATACCTTTTACACGTTAACGACATGACGGCGTTTATTCAAGCCTGTACCTTAATTCTGAGACACTCGCATCGAAGACTCTTATCTTTGCGTGATCTACTGTTGAACACGACAAAGTAATTTTTACAGTCAATTATTACTAAATAAAAAATGAAAATTCCTCTTTCATTATATCCCATTAATATTTTTTCTTGTCTACTGTGTGATTTACTAAGCTCTAGTAACCTTCGCTCGATTTTTGATTATACTTTCATGTTCAGTCGATATTTAGTAGTATCTATGTATCATGTTTTCTAATCGATTCATTCCTTTTCGAATAACTCTTGGGTTGATAATTATTATTATTTCAACTTTCGCATTTTTCTTTTGTTTTTCGTGACAAAAGTCATATCACCAAGACAAGAAGTATCATTAAAAAATGGAGAAAACTGTTTATTCAAGTTTTGTTAATCTCAGTTGTATTTGCTAGTTGACAATTTTCATGGATGCAATGTATCAGTTGTGCTCTCCGTTGGATGTTTCATTAGATTCATTCGGAAATGGGATAAATTACATGTTATTCTCCGAGATTTATGCCCTATTTCTTTTCCCATGTATTTATCTTGGAACGCTACCTGAAATTCGTAAAAAAAGTGAGACAAATTATGTGATGGAGCAACAAAATATAACAGTGGCTTCGTATTAACTGCCTTTGAACCATGATCTAACATCGTATAAGGCCCTTGTTATAATAAACCCGTTTTCAGACCGAAAACATGCTATTGGATCCTATCATATCATCTCATGACTAAATCGAATGAGAGGTGAGTGTATTTCAATAAATTTCTGTTGGACACTCAAATCATATGTATGACGATGTTCTAATTGTCTAAACCTGCATCATTCGTTGTAGAATAATATCCTTGATAGTAAATTTCATCCGATTATGAGAGATACATAATGCCATTGTAAGGATCAAAACATGTTTAATGACAAACACGCTTATTCTGGATATTCTTTGTTCACCCATCGTGTAGCGATCAAATTACTTCTCAGGTAAAAAAATCAGACGTAAGCCCGTACAAGATCATATAAGATTGTATCCATACAAGATTTTTTTGCCTGATCATGGGCCAAGATCGTATAATATCTTATATGTTCGGCTTTCTTAAGATTCAGTCAGTTTCTGGTTGTCAGATCGAAGCTAAAGTCTTGCAAGATTCAAATGAGCAGACTGTCTCTTACAAGATTTTATCAGATCTGATAAGCATCAGACACAAAGAATCATAAAATATGAATGAGTAGCACATCTTATCTGTCCTTGTACGATCGTATACGTTTTTCGTTTTTCTCAGAATTTTCATCCCAATAGTGTCACTATAATATTCGCGACTAAACACAGTGAAATCAAGCATCCAAATCTAATATTATACAGTCTAGTTTATAAATAGCTTTACTCCCCATGAGAGCATACCCTTAAACCGTTAATTCGTTTCAATAATATTCAAAAAAATGATTCAAATCTATTCAAAACACATTCATCATAAAAACTCGGAATGGTCTAACAGCGTCCACTCATTAAACATCCAATGTTTGTCTGTAAATCACAACCGAGAAAACGTAAATCACAGCCTATCGCTTAGTCGAAATTATAAATGCAGAAACACGGGAGTCTTTAAAAAGTCAGCAGTAAAATCAATCCACAACACCTCTTAGTTTTCCTATGTAAAAACATCGCTACGTAAATCTATATATCTATAGGACTTTTGTTATCACTTATATCGAAAAAGTCGGGTTCTCTAAATATCTAATGCTAAATGCGGCTTTAGTGCGCATGCAAAAAGTCGAAAGTAGTATACAGTGATCGTGAGAGTTATATGCTGTTTTATTAGGTTTAGCCATTTGATGACGCCTGGTCATTAAGAAGATGCTCACAGGTCACAGCACGAAATCCATGTAAATCTTACATTGAAATAAGATTTGATCATTCAAAGTCTGACAATCTGTTCAGATACGAATCTTATGCAACGACTTGATGCGAGAAAATCGAGGATCACGATTTTGCATATGATTTTTCGTATGATCTTGCATGATCATATCTAATCTTGATTCAACATCAGATATGATCATATAAGAATCTGTGATTGATCTTGTTGTCTGATTGTTTGACCTGGGTTCGATCAATTTGATCAACGCTTGTTATGACTTTCCATGTCATCACATGAAATGCATATAACCATGCTCTTGTTTTCAAGTAAATTTAATATAGCAAAAAAAAGAAGAATCATACTGCGTCATTCGCTTTTATATATCTTTATTCATACACAGAACCGTGAATACGAATTTTCTATTGATCCATGGTGAACGATTCTCGAAACAAAAAATGCATTCGAGTTTGTTCTTATGCAAAAGAACAAGTCATAGTAGAGATCATGCTGTATACATTGATAGAACCGGAAATTGAATGCGTTTGTGCAACTTTTATTTCCAAGGACGCAATCTAAATAAAATTCATTGATTTCGTGACATATCCACAATGTATGTGTGAAGCAACAGCAATGACGGATAATACTTACAAAGTTTTCCCGTCGGACTTTTTTTTATCGGCTGCTGGCTGCTTATTGTTCATAATTATCGGTTGATGTCCCTATTGATTTAAAATATTGATAGTTAACTTCTATTTATACGCGATGTTATACCTGTTGATCAGCATTAGGTTTTTGACACACATTGGTTTCAGCTAATGGTTTCGAAGCATTGCTTTGATCTGGATTAAGACCACCTCTTCCACTACCCTTTCTGCTTGAGACTGATTGTGGACGTACAACAGAAGCGCCTACAAGAAGTATGAAGGGATAGTTAAAATGAAGAGTTGCACTCACTAGATGTTCTTGATGACGCAGAAGATCTGTTCGATGAAGTTGGACGCGATGCACGTGTCTGTGATTGAGTACAAGTTACAGCTGGCTTTGGAGTTTGTTCACGTTTTGGTTCATGAGCAGACGTTTTCTTCGAGGAGTTTGTTGCTTTTGGCTTAGAATCATTATTCATAGGTGGCCGCAGTGAAGGGGATCTACGAGCAGGAGCAGGTGAGTTTCCACGTGGCTTCGACTGTTCGATCTTTTGAGTATTTCCATTGCTCGAGAGTGATGAAGAACGCCTTGTATGTGGTGCAGGAGTATGATGTCCGCTATTCGTCTGATGAAAACTATCGTTCGATGAAGTTTGCGAAGAACTATCTAAAATTATCTTTCCATCATAATGAGTATCAAATCCTACTACAAATATCGTTTACTTAGTAATGAAGTCAATTGAGATTTATAAAAGTTTTCTGTTCTGAATGTCGCCATGGACTTCGTTGGATGCTCGTTCTGATTTCAGAGATAGGATTAAATATGATTTTTCATCGAATAGAAATGAATTACGTTGGCAGGTGTTGTTCGCCTCGGCGGCGCTTCTATAGACATGGAATTTCGACGGCTTGATCTATCAATTTCAACTTTTCACCGAACGTATTGATAAATCAGTGAAGTACTTACTGAGCGGAATGTGTTTCTTGGCGATTTTCTTTCTCGCGGCAATCTTGCTATGAAAAAGATCATATTGTTCAGTTTGCACGAAATTTAAAAAAATCATTTTTACGATATGTGTAGACCAAATGGGTAGTTCAACGGCTTCTTTGCAAAACTGGCATGGGATACGAATAATGCTGCTGTGGCTAGGACGCTCATGCGCCACTGGACGAGCTGAAAACGACGACGAATATTTGGCAAAAACAGTAATATGAATCATACTTCGCTGCGATGCACTACTAGCGCTCCTCCGCAACGATGATCGTTCGCGTGGAGTTGGGGGAGGTTGAGGTGTTAGTGAATTTTCCGGTCGCAGTGTAGATGCATCTGTTTTCTTTAGATCCGCACAGTTATTTCGATAATGAGCAACGAAAATACCTCGTGCTACAAACTTTCGACATTTCGGACATTCATCAGTTTTCTTTGCACATGCAGCTGAGTGTTGATCTAATGCATCTTTTGACGTTTCTGTTTTCTCACAATATTGACAGGCAAATGATTGACTGTCGTGATCAGATGCCTAGAAATAAAACTCATGATCAAATTACCGGAAATCTCGTAAACTGCTTACCTGGTCTTGATTAGGATCTGATCCATTTATATGTCGTGCATAATCTCTATATATATGGGTTAAAAGTAAAGAAAACTTTATTTATAGAATCATCAAACCCACCTCTCCTGAGAATGGTTCTGTGGAGACGCAATAGCCATGAAGAAGTATTAAAATCTGCCGAAAAATCTCTGCATGTAAATAAAATGTTAATGTCAAGAAAAAATCCTACTTTCAACTCAACTCACACCGAAAAATAATGAGTAGACATGTAACGTGGAGAAAAAAAGGAATTCTACAAAAGGTAAAACGATAAAGAACGGAAGAAAGAAATGCTTGATACGAAGTGTCGTGCGATTTGATGTAGCCATAACACAAGTCGACAGGCGAATGTCAGACTTTCTTTGATGAACCGAATGTAAATACTAAAACTCTCAAAATCAGACAATCAGATCACTAAGTCATGAACACTAGATTCAGAAAAGAGTACAGTAAGCAATCTATCAGCGTTTGCCATAGCGAAGACTTCGTATCGAGACCTTCAATATTTGATAACGACAAAAAAACAGGTGGTATGTTTATATGAATATATCAAATTTGTAGGTTTAATGAAAAAGTAAAGAAATAAACTGCTTTACATCGCCCTCTATTGCACGTGCGTGTAACTACTTGCCATTTATGTGGTTATTTGCTATAATGAAATCACACACAACATGAGTGACTGAGTCATTCGTTGCACAATACGAATGTAAGCAGTCGATTTTCCGAAGCTCTTCATTCTATTACGATGAGTAGAAAACGTCGACAGGTCGTAGAAGAGATAGAAGATGTGTCAGTTGAACCGGCAGCTAAAAGGGCGGCGAAAAATGAAATGAATATGGAAGATGTAACTATACACAAAACGTCCTTTTCAAACAGCAACTATTTCTGTTCTTTTTCTTGTGTTGTAGTACGACAAATTCCTGATAGAAAAGAAAGCCGGTCGCTTCAAACGCACTGGCAAATGGGGTGGAATGTATAAAAGCGTCGCGCATGAATGTTGTGACGCGGAATGTGAACGTAAATGGGCACCGAAACCTGTACAGTGTTTAACAGACGATTACTATTGTCCATCGTGTGTACTTCATCATCGAAATAACATGAATCGTTTTGGCGAAGAAAGATTAAAGTGGACAGCGAATGTTCCGAATACATTCTACGTGTTTTCCATCATCGATCCGGGAACAAACGCGAAGGGTCAAAAAAATCAATCTCTGATTAAATTTGGTCGAACGCAGAACGAAGATGCTGTGAAACGATATCCAACAGCAGAATTGAAAAACTATCAAATGAAATTGTTGTTGAGTTTACGGGGGAAATTAATTACAATGACGAGAATTGAAAATTGGTGGAAAGAACAAGCGGAAAAGAATAAATGGTTTATGAGATTTAGTAATAATGCTTTTCATGGACAGACAGAATGTGTTCAAGTCGATGACAACACTCTAGCAGAGCTAATAGCCAAGTCAAAAGAAATGGCGAATGTTCAAGAAGAAACGGATTGATTTCACTTGAATAAAATTTCGATTAATGAACAGAATATTTTATAAGAGCGTCATAGTTGTTGCCCTCTTCATACTTAGCATAGATAACGACATCCTTTGAACCAATTCTCACTTCAGTTTGAAAAATAGAATCTCTGTATCCTTCCGTGTCTATCCAATGTGAATCGATCTGAAGTTTGACATCTTTGGCGTCTGGTATCACACATTTGAAAGGTACGACTGCACTCTTCTCGAGTATTCCACTTAATGGTTCGTAAATCCGACAGTGATTTTCGGCGAATTTGCCGTAAGTAAACGGAAGTGTCAGTGGATTATCAAGATTTGTCACATTCAAATCGAATTCTACTACACTATTGAACTTTTTCGTGGTATCTACTCGACGCCGTGCAAAAATAGACAACTGATGTAGACCTGTTTCTTGGGGTGCGAATAAAAGTTGCCATTGCTTTTTCTCATGATCGAATTGCGTTAACGTTTGATTTTCTTTTTCCACACAGTTAAACATGATCTTACACAAAAGATCAACATTGTCAGGTGTTTGCATTTGCACTTCAGCATATGAAGCATGGCCGGGCCAAATAACTGTGGAACTATTGATCGGTGCAATAATTTTCAAATCTAAATCGTAAAATAGCTGCCAGGTTTTTGGGTACGATAATGGAGTCGTTGGGATGTCTTTCGCGGCGATCTTGAATGCTACAACAGAAGTATATAGACCTTGACTTGATTTTCGTTTAGCCATAATATCTGCTTTGAATACTCCATCGCTATTTGGTGCAAATCTACATTGCCAATAATGCTGATCACGATCATAATAGACTTGATGTCCTCCGCGAACGTCTCCTTTCTCCCTATTTGTGAGTTTTCCGAGTAGTTCGACATCATCTGGTGTTTGTATCGCAATTTCTGCGAATGCCTCACCATCATCCAATCGAATGATATGCGTACCGATTGGAGACAGTACCTTTAAATGTAAATCATGGAATAACTGCCATGTTTCTGGATACGATATTGATGGTTTGGGAATATCTTTTGCATCGATGCTAAAGGCTACAGCAGAATTATACAAACCTTTATCTGATTTTCGCTTTGCCATAATGACTGCTTTAAACATTCCATTGCCATTGGGTGCAAAACAGCAAACCCAGCAACGTTTGACAGCGTCATAATACACTTGATATCCTCCTTCGACCTCATCTTCTTCGTCATTTATTAATCTTCCCAGTAGTTCGACGTCATCTGATGTTTCGATAAGAATTTCCGCAATTGCTTGTCCTTTCTCCAAACGAATGAGATGTACATATAAAGGTGAAATAACTTTCAACTGTAGATCGAAAAATACTTTCCATGTTTGCGGATAACTAATCACACTATTGGGCATTTCTTCAATATCCAGCTTTAAGGTAATGGCCGAACTGTACCTATCAGTTTCTTCAATAGTACGTTTTGCGTAAATATTAATCTTATATTTACCGACTGAATTCGGAGCAAAAAAACAACAATGCAAGTTTCTCTTTTGATCATGAATGATTTGATGACCACCTTCTACTTTTTCATCATGAAGTTTCAAATCAGCTATAAGACTAACATCTTCAGGAGCTTTTACAAGTACCAAGGCATACGCTTTGTTTGGAAGAAGTTGTACATAAGGTTGATGAGATGGATAAATCAACTCTAAGTTGAATTCGAAGTACGTCGAATGTATATTCGGCATTTGTAAGAATTGTTTCATGGAAACAGTTTTTCTCAATAGTTGCCATCGATCATTTTCCGGTAGATGGTGATAAATCATTTGCTCCGGTCGCGGAAAGAAATAGTATGAATTCAATTCGCGTTTAAATACCTTCTGATCGTTTAAAATTCCTGCGCCCCAAGTCGCTTCGATTAGATACCAATATTGATTAATTTGAACTGCGTTCCAGACATGATCAATTTCACTTGGCGCATCAACTCGTACATCGAATCCATAACCTTTCGAATATCCACGAACAATTTTACACGGAAGTTTCACATGATCACAAAGATACTTGTAAAGATTAACATATCCATCACAGATACCTTTCTTCGTAAGGAATACGTTTTTAGCGCATTGATTCGCACGATTTGTGGAAAAGTAGGAAACACTATCGTATTCAATGTTCAGAATGATCCAATAGAAAATGATCCAATAGCAATCGATTAAAGGTTTATTCTTGGATAGAGTTTTGATCGCAGAAGTTAATTGTTGAAGAGATTCGAAATGCCAAGACTCGATGAGCGAACGATACACTTGATTGTCGATGGCGTGTTGACGTTGTTCAACAAAGGCTTTATTATATGCTTCGGGATCAGCACCGATAATATCAACAAAGTATTCGTCTTCTCTATCTTGCTCTAAACTTTGATTGACAAAGGCGATAATTTGAGCCTCTTCATTCTCATTTTGTATGGAAAACTCTATAGGCGTCTTAATTTTCGAACGTTGTTCCTGTGATATGTCGGATACTGTCGGAGTAGGTTCAGCAGCAGTTGGTGTTGCTCGAGAGCATGTACAACCCATAGCAACATACAGTAGTTCGTTTTAGTTAACACACATCAAATGAAGCACTTCTCGTTCTCTTCTCTTTGCCACTGTCTCACCACGCATTGGTGATTGCACGTGTTTGCAGTATGTATATACTGTGTCCTTCATCTTATTTTTTTCAAGAACGAAGATTCACATCAACAATAACAACAGCATACTAGTTAGATAAAATAAACTGCAAATGATTTTCTTTTCAAATGATTCTATAAATACAAAAGTTCAAAGTGATTCAAGTACTTTCTTCATATTCTGTAACGTCTATAAGAACAAAAAGACGAATGAGAACTCACCGATGTGGAAGTAAAGTACGTTATAAACACTTCGGTGGAAGCTTTTTATTTCAAAGTAAAATTTTCTGTATTGTATCAAATTATTTAGCTTCGGTTAATCATCGAGTTTCAAAATCTCAAAATGTCGTTAACAGCATCACTGCCTACCGTGCAACGATATTTGACAAGGTATGGAATGTCGGTTTATACTGCATTGGGTAGTATTGGTTTACTTTTTAATGCCGTTATTTTCATTCGATCGCCACATCGTCGAACATCTGCAAGTCTTTACATGATAAGTACGACATGGTGCGCCCTGATCGGTTTACTTGTTACGACTATTCCAATGATTTATGAAGCTGATAATTATAATCCGTTGACAAGTTATCCATTCTATTGTGAAGCTATTTTTTATATCCGTCATGCGTTCAATCAGATGATGCGTACATTTTTCATTCTAACCTGCGTTGATCGAGCTGCTGTATCGAGTATGAATCCTAACATTCGATCATTTGGTAACTGTAGAATTGCAATTCGAATGATTCCTTCTGTCATCGTCTTTTGGTTGGCCGTTGCTTGGTTTCCTTCTGAGCAGCGCGCATTGGTCAACGACAAATGTGATGTGGGTAGTGGTATCCATGCTAGTTTGTATTGGACGTACGTCACAGTTGCTGTAGGCATTATTCCTTTCCTGTGTATGATGACATGTTGTTTACTGTTGAAGAGAAATTTACAGGCGATGCGAAGACGTGTTCAACCGATTGCAAACGATCAACCCGTGACGAATTTGACTCTTCGCAAACGAGATCGAGATTTATTGCGAATGTTGTTCGTCGAAATCATTTGCTACACGTGCACAATAACTCCACTTGTAGTGTTATTTCTTTATAAACTCATCACACAATCAATGGTGAAGAGTCAAAATTCTCTAGCAATCGAGTCTTTTTGCTATTATCTCACTGGATCATTTCTACTGTACATTAATAATTGCCTTCCGTTTTGGATCTATTTGTCTACTTCGCAATCATTTAGAATAGAATTCAAGAATTTAATCATTAACGGCTATTCAATCGTTTGTACTACAGAAGAATCAACTAACTAACTCTCGTAATGAACCAATAAAAGTTTGTCTGTCTCTAACTCTTATTTTGAACTACCAATATTTAGTCTTGGGAAAGAGATGTTCGCGTACTGTCTGTAATCCACAGAACGGAGATCGAGATTGCTCATTGTGCTTTCCATCTATTTTTGTTTGTTATTGATGAATATTTCGTCAAAATGATGATCAAGAAATGTAATACTCTTGCGCAATAATATTTTTGACCAATAAATGACACCCTTCAGAAAACATGTGTATGACTTTCGATATTCATAATATTTGCCTTACTTTTTTTTTCTTATCAAAGTGTAGGTAAGAAGAGCTTGAAGAATTCAACTGCGCAATTCCTATAGTCGCATGGCACTTTCAAAATCGTCCTCGTTCGAAGATTTAAGTAGCGAACTACATATTTCCATATTTGAACATTTTTGCGCGAACGAATTGATTGAATTGTTTGCCAACTTGAATTAATATTTCAATCGATTATTACGTGATCGACATCTGTCATTACATTGCATGTTATGATGAATGGTCAACGCAATCTGAGCAGTCTTTCATCAGTTATTCGTTTACAACAATTAAAAACTTTGAAGTGCTCTGACTACGTTTTAATGAAGATGAAAGATTCAACACAATTTGCATCTCTTCATTCCTTGACCATTTCCCGGTGATTTTATTTTGCAAATTCCACAATTGAAAAATTTTCAAATTAAATTATCACACGCACATAGTCGGATTATATATATTCATCTCGTTCATCAGCAAAATGGTCCAAAAGTAACATCGACTTTAGAATATTTCGATAGGGAATCTCATTCTGGTCTGTCATTCGCAAGTCCTTCCATTCACACTTAATCTTCGATATCTTGGTGAATTTCTGACTTGTCAGCATATCAATCTTTGTATTGTGTACAAGCCTGCTGAGAATTTGCGTTGTTTGTCAAGAATGGGCTTAAAACTTCATTTGGTCAAATTTAAACATTCGAATTTCCTCTCCGAATCAACGCCAAGTCTTCAGTATTTGATATCATTGTGTATCTACGTTCTAACGAAATATACAATTCATCTGATCGATTTCAATAAACATTTCAATCAGTTCCGTTTTTAGTTGAGCATCATGTTTGTTCTACAATTAAGAAATCGCACGAAAGAACAAAAGTTCGTTTCATTGTGTACTATAGCGGAGGTTAAAGACAAATCTTTTTGAATTCTATTACATCGCGTCAATAAAATAACTTCAACTTAGTCTTTTCTGAAGAACACTCAATGACAAATGTTTGTGTTTTCTTCCATTCAGTATCTTTATCATACAAATCGATCAGTACATCATATAGAGAAAATGTTGCCTTATCAGTTAAGAATCAAAATCTAAAAAATATGGTATAGTGTGAAATTAATCGATGACCGTAGTACAACTGAATGATTCAGATGTTCTACGATAGTTTCTTATCCAAGACTAGATTATTGATCATAAGATTCGAAGCTATCGATAGCTGACTTGTTTACCGCATTGATTGCAGCAAATGTCAGGTACGCACTGTCATCTGACTTTTAGATCAGAACTAACTGAGATCTCGGATTCGCTGGATTAAAAACAATAGATTGGTTCTTTCTCATCATCTGATCTCACACTTCACAGCACTCTTTCCGCAAAATATATTGTAATTATAGGAGTCTTTTAACCTGTCGGCGGGTTTAGTCGTGATGGCCAATATGCTGCATCATTGATGTAGACCTTCGATTTGTGCCAAGAAAAAATAAGGTTTCTTGTTGCGAAAACTTTTGCATTTTTTGCACCCAAACGCATGATGTTTTTACTTTTGTAAAAATCGTGCACTTTAAGGGTATACTCGAATGATTAAGACAAGCAAAATAACAGAGACTCGATTTTATTGAATTTTTTCTCACAACATCCTGAATAAGAACTACGTAATATTGGTTTCGAGACAGGCCCAAAAGACATTTGTTTAGTTTATCTGCCCTGGTTTCAGTAGGATATGAAATTAATCCTGCTGATTATTGTAATATATCCAGGAGGAATATGCGGAGCTTTAGAACGTCTGCTATTATCAATTATAATTTGATTAAACGACGTGAAATACACTTCGAACTTTCATTTGCACTATTCTTTTCACGCATCTATCATCCCCTGAATTTACCGAGTGGATCTCATCATCCATCTGTCTAAAACATTTCTTACACTTTTGATTGAAAGTAGGTAAACTCACTTGCATAAACAATACTTTCAAACAGACTTGAAGACATCAGAATGAGCTCATTCAACAGCGATCTCACTGGTAAACTCAATGGTATTGTCGTCATTCTTTACAAATATATCGTTCCAATTATATATACTTTGGGTAACATTGGAAATATCATAAGTCTCATCATATTCTTGAAAAAATCTTGGAGAAAACATGTTTGTGTCATTTATTTCATCATGTATATTTTCTTCAATACATGTTACCTCAATTCAACAACATTGGCATCAATCTTCACTTCTGGTTATCAAATCATGGCTCAAACCACGAACATTGTCTTATGTAAAGTTTACATTTATATGGCATTCATTTTTGCAACGATCTCACCAACTGTTCTCATTCTTGCATCGATCGATCGTCTCTTAATCTCCTCTGAAAACATCCAGCTACGGTTATATAGTTCAAAACGATTAGCTTATTTCTCAACAAGTATAAGCACGGCATTCTGGATGATATTCAATCTGCATGTTTTGATTAAAGTTGATATTCAAAAAGTGTCCCCAACTCTTACGATTTGCTATTACGATCTGTCGAAGTTCTATTTTGATTTTGTATTCTTCTCACTGATGGCTATTCACATTATTTTCGGTTTGATGATGCTTATCCTATGCGTATTATCTTTTCAAAACGTTCGACGAATCCGAAATATCTCTCGACAACAACGACGAAATCAAATTCGAACNTTCAATTGTCACTTAGTGAAAAGGAGCACGATTCGAAGTTTTCTCATCCATGTCGATTTTCCGAGCTGTGTCGAAATCGTGAACCAAACTTAACACACGAGCCACATCGAGTACCAACGTGTCAATATGATGAAAAGTGTAAAAATCTCGCTGACCCGTTCCATCGAGCGAGCTATCGTCATACAGGTTATCCTGATTATCTTTTACCTTGTCGTCATCAACAGAAATGTGAAGATACATCGGAACATCATCGAATAAAGTATTCTCATGGAGAAAGAGTTTTTCTGGCCAAGGAAGCATCAGCATTACACGGTAATGAAAAAAAACTTAATGTTGATATGATCTTGATATAAGAAGTTGATTTTTTGATAGAATCCAGTGATAGTTGTGATAATGAAGATCTAATTCCTTGCAAATGGGGCACTAAATGCCGAGATATCGGAGATGAACGGCACTGTTCAAAATATTCTCATCCTGCTGTACACAAACATGCTGATCACCAAACTCCTTGCAAATGGGGTACAAAATGTCGAGACACCGGAAATCGTCAACATTGTGAAAGATTTTCTCATTCTGCAATGGACAAAGCTGCTGACCATCGAACTCCTTGCAAATGGGGTGCTAAATGTCGAGACATTGGAAATCATCAACATTGTGAAAGATTCTCTCATCCTGACATGGAATCATGCCTTTTAGAAGGATCATCAAGTGAAACAGAAAGTGACTGAGTTAAGTCGTAATTCATCATAGCAAAAGAATAGGACTAATAATTTTGGCTGTGATAGATATCTTAGAGTGAATGTTAAAGAATAAAATTGATGATCAATAAAAACGTTTTGATGTTTGAAGAAAATGTCAAAAATAATCTGTTCATATCTGTTGAAGATGCAGCAGTAGGTCAATACGATCTTCAAGTACGAGTACTATGATTTGCATACAAACCTTTTCGAGAATCTTCATGAAGGACGGCACGATGTTCCGAGAATGTTTTTCGAAGTACCGTCGAGAATTCAAAGCGTCTGGGAAAACTTTGATTCATACTGATGTTTTTTGGCATCTAAGTTCTTAGCACCTTCGATCCTCAAATACTTGAGTCATTTTATTTTAGAATAGAAATATGAGTAAAAGTGACAATGACTCGTGTACACATCTGTAGAATACGGACTCAGATGATCAAGACACTCACTCACTGATATCCAATCATATGCACTCCTTTGCAACCAAAATGCTCATTTAACTGATTTCGATGAAAAAAGAAACAAAAAACAAATCCATCTCTCAAGAATATTTCGAAGATTGGCTATACCATATGATTCATTTTCTTTCGCCGAAGTCTTATGCTTTTCTTTTTATAATCGTTCGAAAACTTATTTAGTTCTGACCGTTGAAAAATTTGAAAAATGAATTGTTTTGATAATACTGACTTTTCATCTTGAAATCTTTCTGCTGTTCGGAGCATGGCCTATAGCACGACACGGATCTGCTGCCGCCTGTATGAATACACCAGAATCTTTTTGATTTTCCTACCAAAATCAAATCTCGGCAGGAATTTGTTGAAAAGATCGAAGCAAAACTATGGTCGAGAGATTCTTTTCGATTATGCTACATGTTCAAATCGCAATAATGTGGAAAGTGCGTTTGAGACATTGATGGAACTACGCGAGAAGAAATTCAAATTACTTACTAAAATGAAAATTAAAAAAAAAAACTTCTTTCATTTCAATTCCATTTTAGAAGTCTATTTCGCTCAAAATTCAAGGAATTTGCATTGAAGATTTTGTTTTATTTCCGAAAATGTTTAGATTTCTCTTCAAATCTACGAAGAAGCTTTTTTTGTATTTTTCACTGGTTTTACTACGATGGTAGTGCTTCAAAAGATGAACATACGGATTAGTGCAAAGATCACCATAATTCAACGAGACTTTTGTTCACAAAGAAGTTCACAGGTGTTATCAAATAGTTTATATCCGAAAATAAATTTCTGCTCTGAGTTGACGTCAGTTGAAAAATGACATACGATAGTAAATGACAATATTTACCTAGGATTTGTTTAACACGATAATGTAAAGTGATTCCGAATGAGATATTTCACTTTTAGAGATTAGTGCGATGCTATATTTATCAAAGCTGATGTAACATTTAATAGTAGAAGAGCAAAATGTAGTCCCTAACTATCAAAGGATGGGAACAAGGCTTTACTGAATCAGACAGTTCACAAATATACATTCAGCTCAACCATCCTGTAAGTATGCGATGAAAACATTACCTATAAAGCCATATCGTATATTCTCTCTACGAACATACAGATATTGAGAGTGCTTTTGTTGAAAAACAGGAATTTTTACCATACAGACGACTGACGTGTGAGTTTTCTTTCATTCATGTAGAGCTTCTATCTCCCAGTGTAACATTTCTTTAGTTAGATCTACTCAGTACAATATTCGATTGTTTTTAGATACGATTTGACTTTGTTCAGATATTCAACTTACTCTTGGTTTGTATTACACTGAAAGAGTTTGGTAAGACAATGAATTCGTCAAGCGACTTTGAAATTAGCATCCAAGAGCTCTACCCATTGTGTGCTATTGCGATGTTTTTCTCAGTAATTGCAATCGTTATTGGTTTGTTTATAAACATCGTAGTCTATCGAACTAAAAGAACTCTTCACACATGCCGGCACCTCATGATGTGCAATTCTTCAGTTACAGTAATGTTCTACTGTGTAGTACAAGGCAATAACTACCTATATCTTCTTTTCCTAACATGGCAGACCAGCGACGTCAGTTGCCGGTGGCGTGCTTACTTTTCTTACATGTCGCTAATTGCAATAAGTTATTCCTATATGATGCAAACACTCTCGCGTTTCTTCTTTACTATTCTCGCGGCAAAATATCCTGTTTTGATCACGAAAAGAACTCATTGGATACTGATCTTTATCAATTGGATGATAGTGATATTCCTGCCCATCGGAGTGATCTTGACAGAAGATGTTCATTTTGTCCCAAACGCGTTTTGTTGGGTTCCGTTTTCAGCTGCATTACACGTTATACTTGGATTCATTGGTAATTACGGTATTCCGATGTCTTCTATCTTCGGCATGTATATCTTTATCTACTGTCAAATGAAAAAAAGTCGACAAACTGTAAGGAATAGCACGAATTCTACCAATAACAATCAGATGGAAATGACAGTACTTCGAAATATTTTAGTTATGGTTGGTATATTTCTAATCTGCGGTATACCTAATGCTCTCTTTATGTTCACGGCGCTGAAAATCTTCTTTTTTACAATGACAGTAGGATATCCGTTTTGCGCGGTGGTCGTTCAAGTGTGCGCAATTGTTCTTGATCGAGAACTTTATAAGGTCGTTCATGGAATACTTGTTTGTCGAAGATCAACGCCACCGACTGCCGCGGAGTTCAATTTGAGAAGGCGAATATGAAAATCTCAATGGAATTGACATTCTTGTTCAACAAGTGAAAAGAAAACAATTCGCTTTTGGTGTTCAACGATTATTATCCATGACGATCCTCTTTCATGATTAGGTTTTTTCAAACATTGATCTGAAAAGAATGTACTTCGAAGTTTTATGCGAAATAAAAGGATTGTATATATTATATGAGAACAAAGTTATAAACTATTTGCATACTATCAGCTTTGTTTATGCCAACAACTCTCATATTAGTAGAGAGTATCAGGTTCAACGAGGGATCGGCGTTCTTCCTCGTCTTCTCAAACAGACAGTGTCGAGCTCATCTCCAACTGCTCAAGTAAACTTAGTTCGAACTATTCGTATTTCTATTTAGTATAACATTTGGCGAAAATTAGAACTCTAATTTCATTTGTCTGAACATTGATCTTCTCAAAAAGTTTTATCACATTGAGTAAAGAATATTGAACGCGACAAGATCGGACGTCCGATACAACTGCAACAGTTCAATATACATTTTCTAAATGATCATCAAATACAGTTTTGACTCTCAGTGTAACTGAAAAAAGAAAGTAATTTTTATATTCGGAACAGTTTTTTTTTGTTATCTAGAAATTGCTGACGCACGTGTTATGTCAACAGTTGTTATTACTTGTTTTTTTTTCATATGAAAAATAAAGGTAGTCTTGTAGCTACAACAACTTTAAAAGACGAAATCGCCGTTAATATGGTAAGATCGGAACACTTTATTTATGTAGCTTTGGGCACCTTGGGAACATATTTGTTGAGTGCAAAGCTCCACAGAGTCAAAACCGAATATCAAAGTTATTTTTCTCAATTGAATTTAAAACTAAAAGAACGATACAGTGGAGCTAGTGCGGCCATCATTGATCTGGATAGATTGGACGCAAATGTACGCTTCATTCGAAACAAATTGGATAGTGAATACAAACTGAGACTAGTCACTAAATCATTACCTTCATTAGATCTCTTGAAGTATCTACTAGAAACAACTCAGACGAACAGATTAATGGTTTTCTCTGAGCCGTTTATTATTGAAATATTAACGAACATGGAGTTTGATTCACTTGATATACTGTTGGGCAAACCATTATCTGTGGATGCTTTCTCAAGGTTAACTGCTTATCGTGGCTGGACTAGTATTCATTGGTTGATTGATACAAAGGAACGATTAAATCAATATTTGTTCTATGCACAAAGAGGGAATCTACGAATCAAAATTAGTTTAGAAATTGACATTGGTCTACATCGAGGCGGATTCGAGACGATAGAAGATTTTACTGAGGTAGTAAAGATCATTCAACAAAACAGTCGATTTCTGGAATTAACTGGTCTTATGGGATATGATGGACATGTGCCCTACGTGCCTTTTTATATTAATAAACAAAAAGCTATTCGAAAGGCATTTATCAAAATGCAAAACCGTTATCGACGATTTGTTGATGAACTGAAGAAACACTATGATGCTGAAGCTATCAGAAATATGACCTTCAATAGTGGTGGAAGTCACACTTACTTCAACTATTCCGACGTCAAAAGCAGTACTCCAATCAACGATATTGCTATCGGTTCAGGCTTTGTCACGCCACAACAATTCTCCTATCTAATCAAATTGGGTCACCAACCTTCGTTATTTTTGAGTTCTCCCGTATTGAAAAAGCTTGAATCATCGAAATTACCTCATGCCGAGAAACTCGCAACATTACTCAATCTTTGGAACCCAAATCTTAGTGTATCTTACTTTACGCTTGGAGGTGGATGGCCAGGCGAATTGATTAGCCCTGTTGGTATGAGAAGAAATCATTGGTGGGATGGAAATGATCTTGGCTATTCGAATCTATTACCTAATCAATCGATTCTCAGTAGTTCAGATAAGAACAATATTCGTGTTGATGACTTTGTTTTTTATCATCCGTGGCAAGGAGATGGAATGCTGTGCTTCAGAAAACTCGTTCTTTATCGACAAGCCGGTTTTGTTGGAGAATGGAGCACTTTCAACGGAGGAAACTAATGAAAGCNCAGATAAGAACAATATTCGTGTTGATGACTTTGTTTTTTATCATCCGTGGCAAGGAGATGGAATGCTGTGCTTCAGAAAACTCGTTCTTTATCGACAAGCCGGTTTTGTTGGAGAATGGAGCACTTTCAACGGAGGAAACTAATGAAAGCAAGGGATTGTATATCGATTTATTCAGAACCTTTCTTGATTATTATGAGCATTAAGATCAAATTTTTTAAAAGTAAAGAGTTCATTATTCTGGTCGAGTACAAGCAGTGAGAAAAACACGAATGTAATTTGCAGCTGGTTGAAGGGTGCCAACGTCAATGCGAATTTGATATGTACCGCTGGGTAATCGTGTATTTCCTGGTTGTATGTAAGTAATTTTTTGCCAGACTTGTTGTGGTGCATTGGTTTGTGCCAGGAGAATACCTTGCGGACTGGTTAATTTGAGTGATACCTGATGACGAACAGTTTGTTTACTGTCTTCTGGCCACCATATAGCAACATCCATTCGTTTCGATCCGTATGAATCGCTTGCCGAATCAATATCGAAATTGTTTACGATGTACTGATTGGCATACAACGTTTGCCACATGAATGTGCATTGACGCCAGCCAAGCGAGAGAAGGCCAGCACCTGTTGTATTCGTCACTTGAGGACCATTTGTAAGAGATAAAATCCATGAATAGATGAGACCAGGTTCGGGATTAGTCGCACCGTAACTAATCAATTGCTTTTTTAGGAGATAGGCTGCACCGGTGACGATCGGTGTTGAGACTGACGTTCCATCGACTGTCCAGAAACCGTTGTTACTGCCATTATTATTAGTCGGACACCAATTTCCAATACCACCGCATCCATTGTAAGCTGTACAAAGGCCAGATGGAGCTTGAAGATCAGGCTTGATTCGTCCATCGGAAGTTGGTCCTGACGCTTGATATGTAGCTGTATGAGTTAAATTAAGTAGATCGACCGCTCCAATGGTCAGAACTTTACTGGAATGAGCTGGTGCTTTTTGTTGACCTTGTGTTGCATCATTACCTGATGCAACAAAGATAATAGCTCCTAAATCAGTAGCAGCATCGACAGCATGCGTAACCTCACATGACGATTGGTTCAAACAATTCGTATACAATGATAAATTGATAATTCGATCTCCATTAGCTAACGCCGCCTGAATAGCAGTCACAATCCATGTGCTATTCAAATAAGTTGTGCAGGTTGATGTACCGGCTGAATGTGATGTTTGAACTACCTTATAAGAATTGATGCAAGCTGGTGACATTCCATGTAAAGAATCTCCTGCATTTGAATTAGCTGAAATAATACTAGCGACAGTAGTTCCATGTGAAAGGCAGTCATCATCAACATCGTATTGAGTTGGATTTATACTTGCATCTGCACACGAAGATCCTCCATAAATACAATCAAGCGTTAGATTGATTCGATTTGGCGAATTGAATACTGTATGTGTTTTTCGTACACCTGAATCGATGACGGCTATACATCCTTGAAGATTGTTAAGTGAAGCTTGAGCATTGTAAAGCCAATCGCTGCCAACAGCTTGACGTGCAACACCCAAATCTTGTAAACCCCAAACACCACCTTGTTCATGACCAGGATGAAGAAGAATATAATGTTGTTCTTGTTCTTGTGCATATCGTCGGGCGTGTTCTAGAGGCATTTTGACAAACATGGAATTTGTAAGCCAGAACTCATTTAATATTTCAGCTCCATAGTCGTTGATGAGTTTCTGACGCCGTTCAGCATTTGTCGGCTCTCGATGGGTATTCAATGCTGAAAGGTATTGTGAGAAATTGTCGAATGTTGAGTAATGGTCAGGGAACGGTTGGTGTTCACGAAAAAGTATATGTACGTCAACATCAGTCTTATCATTAGGACTGTCGAACAGTTCTCGAAGAGTGGAATGAATTTGTGGTTGGTGAACAAGAATTGCTTGTCTCTTTCGTCGCCGCTTTCCAATTTGATCTTTGGGTTGCGGTGCTGAACTAAGAATCGCTGCAGCTCCTCCATTAGGATTCAATAAACCATTGGAAAGATCTTGATTTTTAACAATAATTTGGCCACCGTTGAGCGGAGATTGGCCGTAGATGGTTAAAGGAATGATTAACAATAAGGCAAATATTGCTGCTACTTGCATCATCATCACCTTGAAAGTTGTACACTGTATATTTTGTGTTTCTCTGTCTGTTGCACACCTGGGTTTTATACTCTGTATTTAATCATCTCATACGTCATGAATTTGAATTTAATGGTCGTCGTCATATATCATTATTTCCTTATAACAGACTCGTTTCATAAATAGCACAAAGAACAGGTATTGACCTAGCTGATCACCCACGAGAAAACTTTGAAACAGATACCGCTGATTGCCGCGGTTTTTTCATAATGGCTGCGGTTATACCGTTGAAGGTCGCTGTGTCGAAAAGAAACCGCGGTCAACAGCGGTGTGGTGCAGTGCAACATAAATATATCGCGGTATGTTGAAAACAAACCGCGACGTGATCACCGTTCAAGACCGCGGTTTCGAAAATACGCGGTGAAATGTAGATTAGCAGCGGTATTTGAGAGACGCCATCTGCCACAAGTTTANTTAGTGGTGTATGTTCAAGACTACTGATCGATGGTTCATCTGTTCAAATCTGTATCTCGGCAAGTAAGAGAAAAATTCAGTTCATGTCTGAGGATAGCCTAAGACCATTAGAAGATGACTGTGATGGCGACTCAGTTCGAATCTGAGATGAACTGAAAGATTTTTTGCCTAATTTTGAAATTTAATGTAAACGCATCCAGACGCAGTTAGTTTTGAACTGCGTCTAGACACCCTATTTTGTTTCACCGTGGACGCGCTCGGTTATTTCGATTTAGACGCATCTGGCACGCACTCGAAACGCGTTTAGACCCAAAAAATTTTTACATGGGTAGTCATAAAGTACTTTTTCGCATAGACGAAAATATTCGTTCGTAACACTTTTGTTCGCCGATTAAATGATATGAAGAAATTACAATTAACAGAAAGGAAGTGATGCTTATCTATGTTTAATGTTCGATTGGAACAGTCGAGGAAAATGGTAGTCAAAGAAAGAAACATTCGCACCGATTCTTTATTTCATATTATATTGTTCTCTTAAAAACAGAAGGGAATGAATATTTCTCACACTCAGCAGTTCAATATATGTAATATTCACGATTGTTTACTTTTAACCAATCAATGAGTAAAACAGATGCTTCATCGAGATTATAAAGTGGTTCTGCTCTTGCATTCGTCGAACATCGATGCCGATCGAGTATGAAATCGATTCTAAACTCACTTATAGTATTGAAAACAACATAGATGGTTTTGTCTAGTAACGTTGACGGAAATACATTTATTAGAATCTGGTCATATTGACGATGGTATCCAAAACTGATTTGCAGTTTGCGTATATTGACTGTCTGTTTTAATAAAGCGTCAATAGTGTAGTCAATCGTAACATGAGAATGTTTATCAGGTTTGCTAGACAGTGAAATTTGGCGAAGATATGGTATATTAACCAGTGATGAAAGATACCAAATACGTCGTTTATAATCTGCACTATCTAATTCAAGACTTAAATGTGTTGTTCTTTGATATAAAGATCCATGAGTTTGTGCAGTCTAAACAGAAAATAACATCAGTACACACGGTCTCGTCTCGTCTCATCTCATCTCGTCTCATCTCATCTCTGTATAATACCTGTGCGGAGGATATAACAATCGGTATATCAGTCAATGCAAGCGATAAATGAGATACGTTATCCATCATTGCCGTCTCGTTTTCCGATGTCATGGCTAACGTCGAACACGAAGTTTGATTGTCTTTCGAATCATGAATATGGTTTGATTGACATAGAGGTATGGAATACAGTTCAATAAGTTCACCTTTGATACATGTACAGTTAACGAACCAGTGTTTGTGTTCTAGCCAGAAAGTTGTTTGAAAAGGTGTGACGAATGCTTGAAGTTTTTGTTTAAGTGCATCCCCTGAACATTTCCTGTGAAAAGTTTGAAAGAAAAATTCGAATTTATCCAGTTCGGATAAATTTGTTTCTATGAAATTTTCCCATTGAGAACCATCAAAAATCGAATTCTGTATGTTCAAAACACGTGTTAAACTTGATAGTTTTAAGTAATAGATTGAACGAGTAAGGGAAATTACCAGGCGAATCATTTCCATTAACATCAAATTAGATGTGATTGTCAATGTTTTAACGTGTGAAAATGAAGCTAATGTTAAATTGGAAGGAAAAGTATCGGCAAAATCATTCGTACTGAAATCTAACAATTCCAATGTGTGTAAATTCGGCAAGCAACGAAGAAGATTGAGATATTGTTTGCATGAACATCTTCGCAGTGCCAAATTTTGTATTGCATAATCAGTGGGCCATTGCATATTAACGATGATAAAATTCGATGTCACCATATGTAATTGACGAAGACGAACTTTTGACAATATTGACGAATGAAGTTCGATTGTTTCATGACTAAGATTCAATGAATCTTGATGCTCGATCGATAAGTATTTGACACCGGACGGCATATGCTGTAAGAATTCAATTAAATGTTTTTCTCGGGTTCGAATCAAAGTCAATGCATAAAGTCGGGTGAAATCTTTGATGTCAAATTGAGAAAGAAACACTCCGCTAGATATTGCATCATCATCAGCAAGAATCAATGAAATTACATTTTCTGGACGAATCAAATAACCGATTCTCTTAAATTTTGCGTTGGATATGCAGCGATAATCAAGTCGATATCGATTATAGGATTCAGTTTTCTCCTTCAAATCTCGACAGACATACCGTAGAGACCATAAAATATCTTCATAATCAAGATAATCGATAATATGATGAATAACTTCAGGCGGAAGAGTAAGAAGCGGAGTCAATGACATATTCTCTTCTAAAATAATGTCTACTACGACATCGTGTTTGTGAAAAAGAACAAAAAAAACACCGAATGAGATCGCTGATGAATGAATCATGCAGTTTTGTGTTCTGTGTACAAGACAACATCCTTTTATTGTTAGAAAAATGCTACTTTTTTGTTTTAATAGGAAAAAACTTGTTTAAACGTGTCCATGTGTTCAATCCGATCTTTTGCCCATTTTTTCCGGGTGCATGTCCAGTATGATATGTTGCATAATCTACTTGTCCAAATTCATCCATATTATACCAAAAGACACTATTTCCTACCAATGGGCGGAATCGTAGTCCATAATTAGTTGAGTTGTCATCACAAACCAATATATCGCAAAATCGTTCGTGTAACGATCTGTTAAATGGAATGCTAATGAATTCAGTCTCGCCCATTGAACAATGCGCATGAAGATAAGTAAAAAACGTTGTTACACGCTGACCACTAGTTCTTAATCGTTCTGGGTCACTAGTCCAGTCGTAGTGAGGTCCATACTAGAACATTTTCGAAGATATTTATTTCGGAGAAATGAATGAGATGATTTACGTGTTGATCAGCGTCGTATTTCACTACTTGTAATGGTTCGATGCATTCGACATCGAGATCGCCTTGAAATTGAGCAAATCGTTGTTCGATACATTTGACAATGGGCGTATGTTGACGTTCGAGTGGTGCAGTTGTTGACGTTCGAACTTTACTACGATCGGCATTTCCATCATTAGTCAGAATCATTGACGGTTGAAATAATGGTTCACTGACAGATACAAAAATGAATCGTTAATCAAAGCATGATTTTCTGTACGTACGCCAAATCGATTAGATGTTGAATTTCATTTGGAGTAAGAAATTGTTCGATATAAATAATCAATGGACTTCGTTCGATCAGTCGAATAGAATACCGATGACGAGGGCATCTGTATTTGTATTCAGAAAGATTGAAATTACTGGTTATCTCAGGTATGTTGCACTCTTGTTTCGATGACATTTCTTCGTCGCGAATGTACGATTGAGCATCAATGATATAATCATCAAGAATTCCAAGACCAAGATCGATTTTGTGTAAAATATGCCTTCGAAATTGATAGATATTGAAGAAAGCGCAAGAGAACAAAAGTCCAACGAGAATCAAACGATAAGTTCGAAACATTTCCGATTATTTTGAATCAGTACTCTTTATTTCACACACATGCACATGTACTGTTTAAGTTATAAAAAGTGCAAAGTAACGCTCACTGCTTACACGAGAACAGAACGAAAAGCAACTTAAGAGAGTTTTGTTAATCGATGTAAACATTGTCAATAGAATGTGTGCATATATATATATATATTTCTCATTCGCAGCGAAAATTTACGGTTTTGGTATGGTTCGCCGGCCAAACATAAACATTTCCGATTGTGTTTGCATGACTGACTCAGGCGAAACTATTTTTGCTGTTTGATGTGAAGGATGATATTGAACGATATCATACACTGTATAAGATTCTGGAGGTGGTAGTATTAAGTCACTCTGATCAGAAGTATTTGTTGCGATAGTACGTGTGTTACGATGCTTGCGAGGCCAATTTGGACAACTGAATGGTAATGTAAAAGTCTTTTTTTCTCCTTTATAGAAGGAGAAGAGGGACTCACCAGAAAGGATAGCAGCAACAACAGAACAGACAAGCGCATAGAAATGTGAGAAGTGAAGCAAGGAGAGGTCCAAGCCAAAGCCATGTTGAACGACAAACTAAATGTGGATTATGTTGATATAGAAGACAATGAAACGAGCTACCTGAAGGCGATGACGTTGATGTTGCTAATGTATTTATTGTAACATTAGTCACTTCATCGCCATAAATGGTTGAGTCTTGCAATGAAACTATATTGGTATCCGTACTTGTCCTTTAAACAGATATGGTATTCAAAACTTTTGAATTTAATTAACTTACTCCTCTATGTATCGTACCACTGATGTATAATCAGCAGTTGTAGTTGGCAACCTCTGACTAGCACATGGGATTGTATCTGCTCCTACTACGATAAACGATATGCAGTATTGATTTGATCGAACACGTTCACTACAATGAAGAAGTATTACTCTCTGTACACAGAATATTTTCCTGATTCGATTTACCTATCGACAGCTATAGCACAGAGAAGTTGTGATCCAATTTGTATATCCGTTGGAATCCATGTTAGTAACACTGACCATGTAGATGAGGAATTTTTTTG